AATTATTTTCTGGTCATTTTACCCCCGGTCAGGGGATAAACTGGTCAAATGTCTTATTTTTAATTTTGAAAGATTTTAAGAAGGAATAGTTACATTATTTAACACTGACATTTTTAGATAACATCGTAATTAACATGTATATAATCTTGATCTGGTATTTCACCAGAAATATTTATCAGCAGAGTTGGAATAACTAGTTCATTCATTTTACCTCTTAAATTTTCAACTTAATTTATTATTTTTTACTGTTTACAGCATTGACAGGGTATCGCAGTCGCTATTTTGTTATTAAAATTGACAACCTTCCAAATAAATATTTTCCTCTTTTCCAAAACAAACATTGTCCTCTTGTTTATTCCTTATTTGTTTACTTTCAATTAGATCATTTCCCATTTACATTTTCATTACATAACTATGCACTATTTTTACAGCATATTGATTCTACATACTTCTACGAACAGCCATTATTTCTTATATCTTATTTTAATCAAATTTCTACTCCATATTACCATTTTCTTGAATTTTTGTTCCCAGTACCTAGACGAGATCCCAGTACTTTTTCTATGCGAATCGCTCCTGTTACCAATTATTCCATGTCTGCATTTTATACAGACATAAAAGTATGGTTTTGGTACTTACTTATCTTGTAATTATAAATAATTACTTAAAACGCTTATATTAATATCAACAAAATGAATCATATACTAAAGAAACCCCAGCAGCTCGAACTAACACGTAGGAAACTTAATTGGTTAATGGGCTGGAAATCACAAGTATCAATAGAAAATAAACTTCTAATATATTTACAAGACAATTATTAAACCAATATGGTCTTACGGTCTACAACTATGAGGCCAGTAAATCAAACATACTACATATTCTACAGAGGTTCCAAAACAAAATGTTGAAAGAAATCGTAAATGCTCCAAAATATGTCCCCAACTGGTTAATACATCAAGATCTCAGAATTCAAACTATAGAAGAAGAAATTAATCATTACTGCTCCAGATACAAAGCTCGTCTAAGTCATCATCCAAAACAATTAGCGCCAAAGCCTATAAAAAAAAAGGATCTGCAATAATTTACTACAACAAAACACATAGCATCTAAGAAGGTGCTATCGTAGGATAGCGATCCTTCTCACGCTGTCAAATAAATATACCCATAAATTAGCTGAATGTACTGTGTGTATAGTTTGCTAAGTACAATAAAACAAAAAAAGAATAAATCAAGCACATAACCAAATACACAAATTATTTTGCAAAGCTGTGACCACAATATTTATTACCAATTCGTAATTCTCTTTTACAACACCCAAATAATACGTCAGCACTGCTACATGACATATAAAGTACAGAATTTGCGTCATTCGTCGTTTTACTGATTGTGCTTCGGATAATATCTACTATTGCGATTGCCCCAAGTTCGACTTAACCCATTCGGAGCAAATCAAAGCGGGACGTTTTCGCAAAATATAATGTTCGCCAGTGCTTAGCCAATTGATAATATCTTCTATTTTGCTTCACTTTTGCAAGCACACGTCCGTTGGATTTTTGGTTTGGAAAGAAATGTGCTGGAAATTTACTCAATGCAATGCAATGAGTAAATTTCAATTTCTCTATTTTCATAGAAACATTTTTAGTTATATCCTTTAGATACAACATTCTAAAAGTTTGAAGGCATTTTGAATCGTTTGGCATATTTTTGTGTGCATGTGAGCCAAAATATAACCATTAGTCAATGTTTTCTCGAAAGCGACTGCACCGATTTTAAAAATGTAAAAGCCATATGATAAAACTCGATGAGGCCTTGAATTATTAGTTCTCTGCTGAGGCTATAATTACAATTAGCAGTTAAGAGATAAATATTTCGTTCACGCTTTATCTATTTTAAAAATTTAAAAATTGTTTGGTATTTGATGAAGATCACACCTATTATTAACTTTCCGTAGGGTAAGTTATTGTAATGGGCCGAAAATCGAAATTGAAAATTTTTACATTTCTCGGCGTTTTGAAGGTTTCTGAACATTTTGGCATACTTCACAAAAAATGGATGTGTGTGTGTGTATGTATGTATGGATACAAATTTTCGTCCACGTTTTCGGCCGCACAGATCAACCGATTTGAATGGTTCAAAAAAATTTTGATTCCTTTCGATAGGGAGATCTGCTGATTAGTTTTTAGCAAAGGCAGGTCCAGAAGTTACGGAGATAAAGAGCAAAGAGTGCATAAAATAGAAATCGAGTTTTAGAGAGAACGGAGCATCCTATTAGAATGATCTAAAATACATTAAATTTGTAATGATTGCGAGAAGAGGTGATTAGTTTTTGGCAATGGCAGGCCCAGCCATTTCAAAGATTCAGAGCTAAATGTGCAAAAAATGGCAGTTTTTAAGAGAATTAAGCGTCCGATTTAAGTGATTCAAAGAACTTTCTACTTGTCTTAACAAAATAATTGAATTTGGAAAAAAAATTTTGTTTCAACTTTTTTTTTCAAATTTTTTTTTCTCAAACAAAATTTTTTTTGTGTATTGAAAATATTTCAGATTTTATTTTTAATTCTGACTATACTCTAATATAGTTTAAACAAATAATTTCAACTTTGCAATTCAGTTTATATATTTCTTATAAATGTTAGACAATGTTACAGTATTTATAATAATCTATTTGAAAACATTCAGCATTCCTCGAACATTTCGTTACGGTACGGAAAGTTCCAGCAATTTGCCTTAAGGTACGATGCCATACACCTCACTAGTTTTTTCTTAAACATTGGACTTTTTCTATATAATTTTATTGAAATTTTTATGATGATAAAATTTATAGTTTGGGGTCTTAACGAACCTAAAATATTATAGGCCTAAAATACTATGTTTAATTATAAAATAACTCATAATATAAAGTGTCTAGATTTCAAAATTTTATCGTCATAAATTTAAGAGTTGCTTAATTCATATTGATTATGAAAATTATATAGTTACACATATCAAGAAGTTTCTGTAACTTACCTTAAGATGAAATACCACTTACACTTAGTTTGTATAAAATTATGAATAGCAATAAATCATTTATTTCTACGTTGCAGGTATAATAAAAATTAAAAGTAAAAGTAATAATATTCCAAGAATATTGAAAATTTATAAAAATTTCTTTTATATGACATCATTAAAAATTTTGAATTTATTTTGTATTTGAAATTATTCTTGAAATTTTTAACGTTCCATAGATTTTTATTTTTGATGAATTTATTTTTAACTCTTCCGCCACTTATAGTAATTGCAAAAAAATCGATTATCTCAGAAAAAATGGATGTACGCCTGTATGTGTGTTCGGATACAAATTTTCGGAACTCAAAAACTGAATAAATCAAAAAACCTTCGGTTTGTATTGATAAGGCGACACACTGATTAGTTTTTGGGATAGGCAGGTCCAGCTGTTACAAAGTACGAGGCAAAAAGTGCCAAAAATTGTAATTCAAATTTTAAGAGTACGGATTTTCGGATTTGAATGAATCAAACAATATTTTATTTGTTGAATGAATGATTACATTTTTGGAAAGGCAGGTCTGGTGGTTCCGGAGATAGAGTAAAAAAAATAAATGATCATTGGACATATGCACATCAAATAATCAGATATTTTATTTAGATTTTAATAAGTACAAATTTTGTTTAAAATTCTATGAGATCCTTATCAATGTTAATCTGTTAGACAGCGAACGGCGCTTACTCGCTTCGATAAAACAGCTACGCAGGGCGATTGCTTCGAAAAAAGTTCAAAATTAAAAAAAAAGAAAATTCAATAAACAAAAATTTGAAAAAATTCAAAATTCTGAAAAATTTGTTTCGTTCAAAGTTTACTTAGCTTGTTAGCTTGTTAAACATTTTAATTTTCTCTACTCTAAGTTTCAACAATTTGCCATAAGGGACGAGTCCATGCACCACCAGTTTACAAACAAATTAATGGATCTAATATTGTTCTAGATATCGTATTGTTGATCCATCCAAATATTATCTATCTATCAGCGCTCGCTCTACCACCTTTCATAATTTCTAGATACCGGCACGACGCGTCGGCGTTCGAAGAATGTGCCAGCGATGATATAAGGCGTTTTAATGTGACTCACTTATCTCTAATTAATTCAGTGCGGTGTTATTACTATAGTCGGTTTACACTTTTACACACATTGATATTGTTGAGAAAGGTTCAATTGCAGAAACTTATTTGGCCGCGAAAGCAGCACAGACGTCTGAATATTGAATTCCGATGTTTCAAAATTTTTAAGAATATTTTATGGTCTAAGACATTTTTTATATCTATAGCAATTTTATTCAAAAATCATTAGATATAATATAAGCTACTAGGTAGTTAGTTAATATAACGCATGGATTGATACATAAAATCTAAACATATTTATTTTGGAAAGCTGTGTCCTTTTCATTATCAAACCGCAGAAGTCTGCTTGGATTGTACTGCTAATAACTGTTTTAAATATATATATATATATATATATATATATATATGGAAAAAGATAATTTTTTTATAGATCTATTCATAAAATATGTCGGACATAACTAATGTAATTTATTTAAAAAATTCAATTATTTGATGAATAAGAATATTATTATAATTTTTTTGAAAAATATGAAAGAACATAAAAAATTATAGAAGGTCATAAAGATAAATAATAAATATTACTAGAAATCACTGTTTGATTCCAAGATATCAAATCCAACATAAACTGTAAAATATAATATCTTATGCTTTATACCCTCAGTGTTCTTCCCGCTTAGATTTGTTATTATTATAAACACAGAGTCAAGTGTTTTGTTGCTTCATATTTAAATGATACAAATAAAGGTTTAATAATTACACAAGAAAACCAGAGCAGAGGCCGCCTTGCCGATATATTGTTGTTGCATAATTTCACAACATAACGAGATTTGAACGCATATAAAAGACACATGCGACTTTACTCGACACGATTTGTATTTTGTTTCTCGTACTGTAAACATCTTAACATGGCATTCAAGGTAAGACAAAAAATGAAGTGACAAATTAATATGAAAGTTATTATATTTTAATAATAATAATGAAAAGTGCTTTTTATAAATTAAAAATAAGAGTGCAATTATAGAATCAGGATTATGGGTCGATACAACGTGTTAAATTTAATTTATCAATATAATGTAATAAAGTTATATTTGTGTTAACTATAGCTCTTCGTATTCGCCGCTGTGGTGGCTATTGCTAAAGCTGGTGTAGCCCCAGTCGCTACATACGCAGCTCCAGCATACCAGGCATACGCTGCTCCCGCACACTACGCCGCTGCACCTGTAGTCGCCAAGGCTGTAGCACCCGTAGCATACGCAGCACCTGCACACTACGCACCTGCTCCAGTAGCCTACGCCGCATCTGCCCATTATGCACCTGCTCCAGTCGCCTACGCCGCACCTGCCCACTACGCCAAAGCCGTAGCTCCCGTAGCATACGCCGCCCCCGTTGTAGCAAAGACCTTAGTGAAAACCGTAGAATACGAAGCACCAGCCCAATACAGCTACGGATACTCCGTGCAGGATCCTTTGACCGGAGACTCCAAGAGCCAGCACGAGACCCGCAACGGTGATGCCGTACAAGGATCATACTCCTTGGTCGATGCCGATGGCCACCAACGTACCGTCGACTACACCGCCGATGATGTGCACGGTTTCCAAGCTGTTGTCCGCCGTGAACCTCTGCACGTGAAGGTTGCTGCTCCAGTTGTTGCCAAAGTTGCTGCTCCAGTTGCCTACGCTGCCCCAGTTGTAGCTAAAGCCGTAGCCCCCGTTGCTTACGCCGCACCAGCTCACTACGCCGCACAAGCTCACTACGCCGCCCCTGTCGTAGCTAAAGCTTATGCTGCCCCAGCTTACACTACTGCTCACTACGCCGCCGCTCCAGTCGTAGCCAAAGCCGTAGCACCTGTAGCATACGCTGCACCTGCACACTACGCCGCACCAGCTCACTATGCCGCCCCAGCTCACTACGCTACCACCACCTACCATCACTAAAGCCTGACTTGCCATAAAATAGTTTATAATTATTGTAAATAAATATAGAAACAAAATAAATTGAAAAAAATATTTGATGATTTAATTTCTACTTCAGATTTATATAATTTATATTTACATAAAAATTATCCAAATTTTAATTATTTAATTTAATTATTCAAGATAAATTTTAAGTTATCTTTAATTATTATTTTTTATTTGTTCATTATTAATCGTTATTTTATTATTAGTCATTACTACTATAAATATTATTGTTCAATATTACTATCAAATATTTGATTTTTGTGCTAAGAACAATTCTTTCTTACTTTTTTATGTTATCATCACACGGGTAACTTGTCAATGGTCATACAACCCTCTTTTTTTCAATATATTTACATACTTTATAATTCAGAAAGTGTTACTTAATATCTTAATACTTTGAATGGATACTAATAATGAAAAATATATAACTGACACAAATATAAAAAATACGTTTGATACGAATATAATGACATAAATATTATGGTGAAATATAGAAAAAAATATTGTAAATCTATCCATAGAAATACGGATACAGATGAATATTCATACAAAAAAACAATAAAAATTATGTTATATAGTAGAAAATGACAATGATGCAATTTGTTTAAATGTGATGATATTATTAAAAAGACCATTTTTAGTTGTATGTTGCGACATTAATATGCGCTAATTAGCTATTTTAGAAGCGTATTATTTAAAACTTATTAAACTACAAAAAACGAATTTGAGCAATATGTTTTAAATTACTATTGCATGTTATTAAGTACTGCAATTAAAATGAAATTGTTCCAACAACAGATAGTAACGGAAACGGATTTAGCATTTACTATAAAAATACTAGATAATAATGAACTTAATGAGTTTATTAAGTTATTTAGAAAATTCTGCGAGAATTGTAATTTACAATCAAACAATATGTGAAAGGCAGTGATAATAATTATTTTTATGATTGAATTAAAACCAATTTTGATGCGTTTTTTTTTAAACTTTAAAATGAGATGCGAATAAAACTTGATGTAAGTGAGGCAAGTGCAAGAACTTTCCGATGTACGTAAATAGTCGACTCAATCGAGAAGAATTAAGATTTAGAAACATTTAAAATTTTGACTATAGAATTTTGTAACTTTAACAAGACACATTATTTCAAACATTGATGACTTTTTCTAATAAATGCTCTTTGCAAACCTGTCATATATTAGGGGGCGTTCATTAATCACGTGATCGATTTTTTTATTTTAATTTATTAACTAAAAAGAGAAATTCTTAATTTCTCTTTGGTGATACGCGGTGATATTCAAAATTATCCCTTCTCCCCAACCAAACAACACGTGCATTTTTAGTTACGTGAAAAATTGTAATTTTTTTTTTTTTTTGAAAATGTTTGGAATTTTTAAAAAAATCAGATAAAAATAAATACGCGTGATATCATACTATATATGAATATTCATACAAATCTTACTATAGCCCTAACATAAAACCCTAACATAAAAATGATATCTTACTATAGCCCTCCCTTACCCACGTGGTATTTTGTGATTTTTTTTCAAACTTCCCCTTCCCCACGTGATTAATGGACGTCTCTTCAGGTTTAAATTTATTAACCCTATATACTCTCTCAGCATACAAAGTTTTATAAAAATCGTTTAAGAACAATCAATTTGATTTCCAAATGATACTTTTCGAATTGTGTTTAATATAATATAATATAAAGCATTGAAATCTTTTCAGGACATTTGGCAATTTTGGCTTCGCCGATTTTTGATGATACTTTTCGAATTGTGTTTAATATAATATAATATAAAGCATTGAAATCTTTTCAAGACATTTGGCAATTTTGGCTCCGCCGATTTTTTCGCAAGTTTAAATCACGCAATTTCTTATCAAGCCCTATCAAGTAGCTTTTAAATTTTTGAAACTGTGCAGCCGTTTTTGACAAAAAAATTTGGCTTGACAAACACACATACTCATACATACATACACGTACTTTTACAAGTTCGATGTCAAATTATTCAGAATGACATGGATCGTCAAAAAAACATAAAATTAAAAAATAGTATTTTCTGATGATAGTATGAGCTTTTTCTTCAGGTAGTAAATAATGGACGTATTATAAACATATACTTTTTATTTGAAGGGGTATTTGTTAGATTTTAGATTCAAATTTTAATTATACGCATTAAATGATATTACATACATACAATATTTAGATAATTTGAATGTCTCATGATACGTAGATGATTTTTTAACTAAATTTACTAATAGTAATTGTAAAAATTACTTATGTGCAATAGTCAAATTCAATATATTTCTATGAGCTATGTTGTATGATTCATCAAAAACAAATATAATAAACAAATAATATTCACATTAGAAATGGAAAAATCAAATAAATATAACAAGATTATTTCAATGTAATTTTCCTAATGTACTACGACTCGAGTAAATTTATAACCAATTTCTTTCAAGATTTTTACCTGTTGATTATTGTAGAATAAATATTTATTAATTAATTTTACTTACTCATTTATTTACACATTAGAATACGGGTAAACTTTTGATTCTGATAAATTAATTACCAACGAAATTTTGAGTTACGTACAACTAAATAGAGGCATTCAACATAGTTTTCACTATGAGCAAACGCACTTCATCTTTTCTAGAAAATAATGTAAATTTCAAAAGATGCAACTATCAAATATGCAAACATTTGTATAAAATTTGAAAGACAATAATGAAAATTTATATTTAATACATATAATCATGAAACTAGTACACAAAATATGAAAAATTCAAAATGAAATATGTTGAAGAACTATATGGTACGTGAAGTGCAACATTATACACAACATTATAAAATTGCTTCTGATTTAAATTATTGTTATTTAATTATATGATAATATATATATATATATATATATATATATATATTATCAACAAGTTAGTTACTTTATGATACAAATTTTTATAATACAACCATATCATTCTTACGCGTTAACATTATTAAACTAGTGATTTCTTCACCTTACCCACTACAATTTTATGAAATTTTTTATATGACATTATAATATATTTTATATTCTTCAATTTATGTCCACAAATTACAGTCTTTATTCAACATTGAAGATTTTTTTGATAATTTAACAATCCTCTTGAGGTACTCGTCAAAGAAACGTTCCCCCTAATTGCTTTTGGTCTAAACTGTCTACAAGTTGGAAAATTTCCTTTGCACAAACCATTTTAACTTCAAATTACTAAAAGTACTATTTCTTTTATATATCATTTATTAGCTTGTAATTTTTATTCGAATATATCACTGATAATTTTTCCTGAATTACATTACATGCAAGTGAAATTATTCACTTATCATTAAATTCATAAAAATAATTTTAAGAAAATGTTAATTAAATTTAAAACAAATATTTATTTCAAATAACCTATATCAACCGATTTAAATATTCATTACATGCATAACAACATTTTAATATTTAATTTTTTGACTAATTGTAATTATCAATATAAATACACCATATTTTTTTACAATGCTTATGATACCAGTAATCTCAATTACCGATACATACGCTGAGAAACAATGTAACCGTGACATTGTTTGAATATTCACGGGCAACATATAGAGAGTATATAAACTGGAGGAACTCATGTTTGATATCAATTCACTTCTGTGCTTTGTGCAAGACACTTTATAAAATGGCATTCAAAGTAAGTGCACATGTGAATATATATATATATATATATATATATATATATATATGTGTGTGTGTGTATTATACTATTTTTCACGATATATACATAAAGATATTTATTTCAGTTATTCATATTCGCTGCCGTAGCAGCTGTAGCCAGCGCCGGAGTTCTCCCTGCACCAGTTTCTCATGGATACTCTGCAGGATACGCCGCACCAGTGGCTTATGCCGCCCCAGCGCATTACGCAGCCCCTGCTCCAGTCGCCTACGCTGCACCCGCCCACTACGCCAAGGCCGTAGCTCCCGTAGCTCCCGTAGCATACGCCGCCCCCGTTGTCGCAAAGACCTTAGTAAAAACCGTAGAATACGAAGCACCAGCCCAATACAGCTACGGATACTCCGTGCAGGATCCTTTGACCGGAGACTCCAAGAGCCAGCACGAGACCCGCAACGGTGATGCCGTACAAGGATCATACTCCTTGGTCGATGCCGATGGCCACCAACGTACCGTCGACTACACCGCTGATGACGTGCACGGTTTCCAAGCCGTTGTCCGCCGTGAACCTCTGCACGTGAAGGTCGCTGCTCCAGTCGTAGCCAAAGTAGCTGCTCCAGTTGCCTACGCTGCACCAGCCCACTACGCTGCACCAGCACACTACGCCGCACCAGTCGTTGCCAAAACCGTAGCTTACGCTGCCCCAGCTCACTACGCCGCTCCAGCTCACTACGCCGCTGCTCCAGTGCATTACGACTCATACCACCATTAAATATAAGACAACAAAACGCTTTATTTATTCTATAAATTTTTTACAAAATAAGAAAAATAATATTAAAAATACATTAGTTTTATTATGCCCTTTAACTATCACCAGGATAATTAATTATGAATTTGAAAATACATTTGAAAAACCTAATTATTTATATATATCAGCTATAAATTTGTTAATTTACCAGTTTGATGAGAGAAAAAAAAACTAGTGGGGTGGGTGGCATAGTGCCTTAAGGCAAATTGCTGGAACTTCCCGTACCGTAACGAAATGTTCGAGGAATACTGAATGTTTTCAAATAGATTATTATAAATATTGTAACATTGTCTAATATTTATAAGAATTATACAAACTGAATTGCAGAGTTGAAATTATTTGTAAAGTATATTAGAACTATAGTCAGAATTAAAAATAAAATCTGAAATATTTTCGATATACAAAAAACTAAAAAAAAAAAAAAAATTAAAAAAAAAGTTGGAACAAAATTTTTTTTTCCAAAATCAATTATTTTGTTAAGACAAGCAAAAAGTTCTTTGAATCATTTAAATCGGACGCTTAGTTCTCTCAAAAACTGCCATTTTTTACATATTTAGCTCCGTATCTTCAAAATGGCTGGGCCTGCCTTTGCCAAAAACTAATAAACACTTCTCCCAATCATTACTAATTGAATGTTTTTTAGATGATTCAAATCGGATACTCCGTTCTCTCAAAAATTCAATTTCTATTTTCTGCACTCTTTGCTCCGTATCTCCGAAACGGCTGGACTTGCCTTTGCCAAAAACTAATCAGCTCTTTTCCCTATCAATAGGAATCGAATGTTTTTTGAACCATGCAAATCGGTTGATCCGTGCGCCCTAAAACGTGACTGGAAATTTGTATCCATACATACATACACACACACACATACACACACACACACACACACATCCATTTTTTCTGAGGTATGCCAAAACGTTCAGAAACCTTCAAAACGTCGAGAAATGTAAAAATTTTCAATTCCGATTTTCGGCCCATTACAATAACTTACCCTACGGGAAGTTAATTAAATGGTGATTTGAACATTTGTCTATGTGGACATACTGAAATAAGATTGATTATTGATAAAATCAAATAATACAATAGAAGGGCGATTGTCGTCACAATCGTCCACACCCAAAGGACGATTGCGGCAGGCACAAAAATATGTTAAAACCATTAGGTATAAACACCGTAATGGTTATAACGACTTTTATTATCAGAAATATGTAACACGGCGCAACAGAATCATTTAAACAAAGCTTATGTGTATAACATAACAATATATAACAAAACATAGTGGTTGGGCTGGCTACCATCAGTAATTAACAATAAAGCGGACTGTAAGTAAATAATTGTTATCTGACGATAACCGTTCCAAATTTGAATCTTACTGAATAAAAACACTGTGATTGGTATAAATCTATATTAATATCTTCAAACTATTACAAATACAGCGGTTATTGAATATACTTGTTGACTATTCCGCTGCATTGTCTAAGACTAACTTAAAATTACTTGGTACAGTGTTCATACAGGAAGTATTTAGGTACAAAAAAATGAGCCCTTGTGCGAATGACACAGGCCAGAGGCTGCGATATTCTAGGAAGTGCAACGGAATACTCGACAGCGCCAAGGCACGTCGCATTCTGACCACATAGTTTTTAAAACAAAGTTAACACAAAAGTTTTGTGTAATATTTATTTCTTCTATTCAGCTTCCATTTCCATTTGTCTTTAGCAATTTGTCTTTGTTACATTAGATTTTTTTAACTGTTTAATCTTTACACAAAAAGTGCAAGGCCCACAACCACTTGTCACAACTACACAACTTTTATATGTATATATAATCTTTGCAAACTAAAGTTTTAGTTAGAAGTAAATTTAAACTAGTGGGGCGCATGGCTAAGTGCCTTAAGGCAAATTGCTGGAACTTTCCGTACCAAAAATTATTGTATTTTTAAAAACGATTAACATTTTTGAAAAAATTTTACTTCGAAAAAATTAGATTTTTGAGAAACTATAATTTGACAAAAAATTACTTTTTTTTGAAAAAACAAAGTTTTTTTTATTTTGACATATTTTGGAAATTCTGAACTTTTTTTCAAAGCAATCGTACTGCTTTAACTGCATAGAGACAAAATGTCGAAGCGCGTAAGCGCCGCGTCGCCGTCTAACGGATAAACATTGGTAGGGAACTCATAGAAATGTGAACAAAATTTATACTTATTGTTAAAATCTCTATAAAATATCTGGTAATTTGATGTGCATATGTCTAATGATCATTTTTGACCGCCAAATGGCATTTTTTCTACTTTTTTCATTAGATCTCAAAAACCGCTAGACCTGTCTTCATATAAATTTGATCAATTCTTTATCTTGTCAATACAAGTAAAATGTTCTCTTAAAAACTGAGTTACCATTTTTGGCCAAAACTAATCAGCGAGTCTCCTTATCAGTAGGAATCAAATGTTTTTTGAATTATTCAAATCGGTTGATCGGTGTTCCCGAAATCGTCGGGAACTCGGGAAAATTTGTATCCGCACACACACGCACACACACGCACACACACACGTACACACACACGCACATACACGCGCACACACACACATACACACACACACATGTACATCCATGTCGCAGTGAAGGGTAGTTGGACGCATCGTCTCATTCCAATCATTTCGATTTTTTTGCGATTACTATAATTTGCCCTACGGGAAGTAAATTAATATATTATTAATTGTAACTTAACAAACCTAGATTTTTTTACACTTTTTAATTACAATCTGTCGTACTAAGATATTCAGTAAATGTTTTGACATTTATTATATAGATTTTTCAATGGATGGCCACCCAGAGTTCAATGAGTTATTTGGCTTATAACATTTACTCACACATGTACAGACACACACTTACAAAGCCACGTATAAATCATTGTAATAAATATTTTATCGATAATTGGAGAATCACTCTAATAAGTGAATTCACCAATACTGTTCATATGTGCAAGGATATGGTAGTGCTAAAGATCTTCAATATTAATTAACTCAACTCGAAGTATTTGTTGACATATTCACAAAAATCAATATTATACAAATGAAGCTATATTTGAGATCCATAACCTCAAGTGGTATCATCAAAACTGCCTGATGTCGAGCTTTGGCGGTAGCGAAAATCGAACCAGCGAATCTGGGACTGGTAGTTTGGTGCTAGCAAATTTTTATGACTAGACTTTTTGTTGGCTTAAGACAATTATAATATAAATCAATAAGATAATAGAACATATATATCATTGTGCTTACCACCAGTATTTCACAACTAAAATATAATCGTTTATAGTGACATGAATATTCTATTCGCAAAATTTTAAAAATCTATTATGGATTTTTTCACAACAACTAAGATGTTAACAAATGTTAACAAATCAAATGTTAATGAATTTTCTAAATATTTTGTTCTTTGGAGTAACGTATTAACTTTACGCAGTCTTTACTTCCCGCAGGGCTTATAATGCAAATCATACAGAAACAGAAAATGAAATTATCGGATTATGAATAGACATTTCTATTGAAATAAATACACATAATTTGTATTTCCACCAAGTTTCTTAGTTAATTTGTATTCCGCACCAATGTTAAGATTTTTCCTAATTCAAACAAATTATTTAAGTATTTCAAGTGAAAATGCAGTACTTATAAGTGTTTACTTTTTATCTAACTTGAGGTTCCCAACTGAACATGCATTCTTTTTTCATACCATAAAAGTTTTGAATCATTATATAATGTTTTTCAAATTTATTCTATTAGTTATAACTGATGTAATGTCCTGAATCGGTTTAAACGATAAATTTCTTGTAAAGATATTATAATTTTCAATAGTTCAAAATTCCTGAGTTTAAAAATAATTTTGATTTAATTGTTTGTCAGCGGTATTATAAAAATTATCTTTTTTTCAATCAAAGAAGGTTTCGTTTGATTATATTTTATTTATTCAATTTGCTAAACAAAATTAGAAAAACCATAAAATTAACTATTAAAGATTAACTATTGAGATTTTTTCAATTAAATTTATCATTTTAAAATAAATGTATGGTTTTAAAAGATAAAAAAGGTCTGGCCTTTTATCTTATATTGTATCAACAAACATCTAAAAGTGTAAAATATACTTTATTATGAAAATATGTAAAACATTCATATTTCAATTCAACATTTGAATATTTCAAATTGATGCAAACATTTATGAAAAAACACACTAAATAAAAAAATGTTTTAGAAATAGTTTTGGCGGTCAAAACACCAAAATATATAAAAAAAAAACTTCTTAACAAAACTGCAAAAATCAATATTTTACATTGATATTTATAATTGTTTCAGTTTGAAACAATATTTTTAATAATGTGTTTTTGTCTAGAAATCTATTTTTCTTGGAATGATAATTTTTAACTTTGTAGTGGTAGTTTTTTCACAATTATGTATATTTATATAAAGGTAAAGCGTGCGCCTACCAGAATTTAATTATTTGTACATATAGAGGCTAAAGTTCTAGATAAAAATCTATTATTTCGGCACATATATTGAACTTGTTGTCAAAAGTTTCAGTCATCTATTAATCAAAAACCTGTCCAAAAATTATTTTTTTATTTATTATGTCTCTAAGATAAAAAAAATCAAATATCAGAAATACGCCACGCCCAATTGTATTATTAGTGATTGTTTCTGTCGCATATTTCAATATCACGGGCTCTACATTGAGAGTATATAATCGCGTTGTGGCCCAGTTTGATCATATTCACTTACAGTGTTTTGTACAGGACAGTTCCAAAATGGCATTCCAAGTAAGAATATTTAAAAAATGTTAAATAAAAATATGTTTATATTTAGCAATGTGAATAAAGTCAAGTGCAAAACGAGGATTGTACTCTATTAGTGTAATATTTTTTACAGTTATTTGTATTTGCTGCCGTAGCAGCTGTAGCCAGCGCCGGAGTTCTCCCTGCACCAGTTTCTCATGGATACTCTGCAGGATACGCCGCACCAGTGGCTTACGCCGCCCCAGCGCATTACGCAGCCCCTGCTCCAGTCGCCTACGCCGCACCCGCCCACTACGCCAAAGCCGTAGCATACGCCGCCCCCGTTGTAGCAAAGACCTTAGTGAAAACCGTAGAATACGAAGCACCAGCCCAATACAGCTACGGATACTCCGTGCAGGATCCTTTGACCGGAGACTCCAAGAGCCAGCACGAGACCCGCAACGGTGATGCCGTACAAGGATCATACTCCTTGGTCGATGCCGATGGCCACCAACGTACCGTCGACTACACCGCTGATGACGTGCACGGTTTCCAAGCCGTTGTCCGCCGTGAACCTCTGCACGTGAAGGTCGCTGCTCCAGTCGTAGCCAAAGTAGCTGCTCCAGTTGCCTACGCTGCACCAGCCCACTACGCTGCACCAGCACACTACGTCGCACCAGCCGTTGCCAAAACCGTAGCTTACGCTGCTCCAGCTCACTACGCCGCTCCAGCTCATTACGCCGCTGCACCAGTGCATTACGACTCATACCACCACTAGACTTTTTTTCACTATTGTAAATACAACGCTTACTTAGTTATTTAATAAATATACACCAAATATAAATGTATTGTTTTTAATCTGTATCAGATATCTGCTTCAACTTTAGCTACATAATTTTATATATGTGGGTATATATATAAAGTCGATTCTTGGGTTCTCGGCGCCCGCATGCCTTTTTTTCTAGCGCTTTCCACCGTATCCTTTTAACTGTTTTAACAGTTTATTATTAAAATTATTAGAAAATTTACGCTAATTTTATATAATCTAAAGCGTGACATCTATTTTAGATTTATTTGAAAGATTTTAAATTTATTTAAATTTATTGTTATTTAATTTAAAATTTTAAATTTTAAATTCAAAGTGTCGTATCTTCCTTTGTTGTCGCACTACCGAACTATTTTTAAATTCTTATTTTTATCCAAACATTTTAGAACATCCAAAAATTTGCAAAACTAGTTGCAAATTATTAAATGTTTCTAATGCACGTGTAATATTAATAATAGGGTTTTGAAACATTTTACTAACTTATTTTATGTGATGATGATTTTATGTGATTTATTCTATTGAGCAAATTGTGCCAAAAAGCAAAAAAATTCTAGCCTTTCATTAATAAACAAAATACTCGTACTTCATGTTCAATTTTTTTAATTGAGTTTTTTATTATCCGAAAGTATCCGAAACTGCATAGTAAACTTCTCCTAATTAATATCGTAAGAGTCCATCTATCGTAAGAGTACATCTTTACTTTCACATAATGTATCAGATTGTTGTTTAAAGTTAAATATCAAACGTGTTTTAAAAGTATTGTCAAAGATTAGTAGAAGATAATGTTATATATTTCTTGAATGATATTGAAAAAAACTATATTGTAAAATCCATATTCGAATCTCCTATTGACACTCTTCTAGATATTATGAATCGTAATAAAAATACAAAATACATGCACTTCATCTGATCAAAAATAATTTCTATAACTGTAACTCTAACTATATAAAATAAATATTGTTCATTATTAGAATAATAAAATAACCGGTATTTTTCGAACAGATTATAACTTTTTTGACATTGAAACTATTCATAAGATAAAAATTTAAGGGTTGGACTACTGTCAAAGTTGGTTAATGTTAATATTAGATCTGAAATTTCTATGGTTAATTCAGAAGAAATTTCTTTAACAATCTTCACCAAAATATTATTCGACACGATACCCTTGAATGGGCTTTGAAATTTTCAACTTGGGTTAGAATATGACGAAAAAATGAGAAAGATAATTAACCGTCTTTTCAACTATTGCATTTAAAAATTTTTTGATCTTCAACAACTTTAACAAGCTTAATAACCTTCATTATTATTTTTAGGACCGTTAATAAACTTTATTAACGGTCCTAAAGATGTAACTAATATCATTGGTCAAACTACTTTAAATCAGTACGACTCCTAGCTTTTTCATGAATTTTATCATCGATTCAGGACTTTGGCATTAAAATCTTATAAAAAAATTGTAAATATATAGATGGTTTGACGTGCACCAAAATCTAGTTATTATTGAGATTAGTCAGAATTGAGATCTTTTTTTATTTTTATGCTAAGCATTTCAGAATGCATTGCAATATCGAACAAAATTAGTGAATCTAATCAACAACAGTCATGTATTTATTTCTAGTACTTATACGACTTTAACGGACCACATTATAAAAAATATCAATGATTTGTTTAAGAATCTTTGTTTTATACACTTTAGCTATGCTTTGTCATATAAGACTATATAAGTATTATGCTGCACTAAACATGATATGAAATTTTAAGAAATCATATAAAACACAAACGTAAAACAACCGTTAAAGATATATCGACAAAATGTTTTGTGACCTTAGTATTTTATAAATCCTGATATATTTAAATAATGAGCACATTTGAACGCACGCACCATGCACATCGACTAATGTTCCATATGCAACAATGTCTATCTTTATTCCTTTGAATTACTCAAATATATTCGAAGTTTTCTTCATGACGTATTCAAAAAACATGAATATTTTTCATTAATAAATATTTTATTAAGCGTACAAATCAGTTAAAAACTACATAACATTAATGGTGGTATGAGTCGTAATGCACTGGAGCAGCGGCGTAGTGAGCTGGAGCGGCGTAAGCTACGGTTTTGGCAACGACTGGTGCGGCGTAGTGTGCTGGTGCAGCGTAGTGTGCTGGTGCAGCGTAGGCAACTGGAGCAGCTACTTTGGCTACGACTGGAGCAGCGACCTTCACGTGCAGGGGTTCACGGCGGACAACAGCTTGGAAACCGTGCACGTCATCGGCGGTGTAGTCGACGGTACGTTGATGGCCATCGGCATCGACCAAGGAGTATGATCCTTGTACGGCATCACCGTTGCGGGTCTCGTGCTGGCTCTTGGAGTCTCCGGTCAAAGGATCCTGCACGGAGTATCCGTAGCTGTATTGGGCTGGTGCTTCGTATTCTACGGTTTTCACTAAGGTCTTTGCTACGACGGGGGCGGCGTATGCTACAGGGGCTACGGCCTTGGCGTAGTGGGCAGGTGCGGCGTAGGCGACTGGAGCAGGAGCTGCGTAATGCGCTGGTGCGGCATAAGCCACTGGTGCGGCGTATCCTGCAGAGTATCCATGAGAAACTGGTGCGGGGAGAACTCCGGCGCTGGCTACAGCTGCTACGGCAGCGAATATGAATAACTACAAAAAAGGATTTATTAAATTATTATCCATTTCACTTTGAGCAGTTAAATATTTAAGTTTAACTATAAGTTTTAAGCACAACCCACTTCAAATGCCATTTCCGATGTATCTTGTATGAAGCACAGAAACAAAATATACCGAAACTGTTCGGCTTTGTGGTTATATACTGCCGATGCATTCATTGTGAATGTTGATATGTTAAGCAATAATTGATTGCGGTTCAGTGTAAGTGAAAATATGAATTTACTTTTGTGGATTAATGCATGAGCATTATTTATTAAAATGTATGTACGAATAACACTTACCTTCTTCTAATTTTATCAAATTGCACTAATTTTCAAACTTCAAACATGCAACTTTAACATTAGGTTTATGAAGATAATAAATATTGTTCGGTATTTCTAAAATAATTCTATAAATAAAATAACTTTTACACAATGTTAATTCATTATTGTCGAAAACATTTATTGAAATTTTTGATATTCAAGTGATGTAAATGATATATAAAATAAAAGTCATCATATATAAAATAGAGTAATACTCAAGTCTTTGGTACACTTTATTTTATATTTGTCCCAAAACTATAATGATAAAAAGAAACGGATTAACATAAAATATTTTCAGCAAATTTCTTTATTATTATTTATCTGAGAGGTTTTTTTTATTTTTCAAAACCTTTCAGTAATTTTTGAAAAATAAATCCACTAAATATGCATGAGTTTTTTCCTTATTTTAATTTATTTCATTCTTTCTGCTCTGTTTATTACTTAATATCTACTCACATGCTTTCCTAAAATAATGCAACTTTTTTTAATTATGTTATATTATTAGCGACCAGATAATACAAGATAATTCTGAGTAAATATAAGCAAGAACATTATATAAATAACATTTTTCAATCAAAGGAGTATAGCTTAAAAGTTTAGGAATGAAAAATTGCTGATAAAATGTAGTTTTAGGTAAAAAAGGGTATTTTACAAGAGATAAATTAAATAAATAGGTATTCCAGACCTGCTGATGATTTGCTTGATGAAATACCAGATTAAGGTTATTACAGTGTCATGTCTGTAAAAAATGTGCCGATGAAATTATATTTTGCATTGGTTGAATAATTTAGCTATAATTTTGTAAAATCTTTTAAAATTAAAATTTGACATTGGTCCTGATTGATTCTGGCCGTTCAAATTTACCCCGGCTATGGAAACTAAAGGACCTGGTTACAAATTTTTCAAAAGGACCAGGTTACAGCAAAAAATACACATTTTTCTAATAATAAATTAGCTGATAATATACAAATTTAAGCGAAGGAAATTAAATGACACATACAGTTGGCAAGATGTAAACACATATAAATTGTACCTCTACTAATTTGGTTTTGAGAAACAGACATCTAATTTTTTTTATTATACAGTGTGATTATAATACAGTGTGATCTATAAGTACACTATAACATAAATTGGTCTAGAATTTAGAGTTAGAATTATTTCTATAATTTAAAATTACATTATTTATATGTATATTTATATGATTCTTTAGTGATAATTTATTTTTAAAATGTTTACAAGGAATAATGCTGTTGAAACACAGCTTAATTTCAAAGAGAGGTATTTTTTACATACACGTGAAATTGGTTGCAGTATTTTATTCCCGTCTTTTAAACTGTTACAGGTTAATGACAAATAATACATATTTGCTTCCGTGTACCCATGACACATTTATAGGGTATAAAAATTTAAATTATTCTGAAAGCTTATAAGGGAAATATAGTAGTTTCAAAACAAGCATTTATTTTAGTTACTCGATTCTACTTGAAACAATGAAACAAAATTATTATAAATTAACTTGTTAACCGGGCGTATGTTGTCTCTATAATTTCATATTTTTATATTTTTATCGTTACAAAATAAACTACCTGTAAGTGGATTTCTGTCTTAAGGCAATTAGGGCATCATGCCTTAAGGCAAATTGCTGGAACTTTTCGTACCGCAATTCAAAATTCGAGTAATTAAAATAAATCAATAATAATGTTATATATAAAAATGGAGCTCTAATGTCCGAGTAAAACTCGAAAACGGATAAACCGATTTGGCAAGTCTTAGTCTTGAAAAATTAGTGCCAATCCAGAGATGGTCGGAAAGGTGAGATATTTCAAAATCGCGTAGAAACTTTACATTTTTAATTTGAAATTTTTTGTAGAAGCGCAATTTAAATAAAACAATAGACGGTGGCAAATACGTGAAATGTCAAACGATTTTGACAGATGATGTTCAATTATATTTAATAGGATGATCTCCGTGAATATTATTTAATTATGATTAAAATGTGGTAAGAGTTTTGTTTGTAGTTTTATTTATATACAAAAACGTTAGTAAACGGGCTGCAAGTGTTACTAGAGACTCAAAATATCAACTTTTTTGAAATGTTAATATGAAAATGCACTTTTTGGCATATTTTTCTCAAACACGGTGCTCGAAATGATCTCATTTGTATAATTATATACTCATTGGTATTTATAAAACGTTTACTGAGTTATTATTTTTTATTTATGTTATTTAAATTCAGAACCTAAATTTGGTATCGATCAAAGGAGCATTTTGTCGTATAATATTTTCCCAGTTATAATTTCCCAGAATTTATCGAAGAATAGATTGTAATATGTGAAGGTCCAGGGTTAAAAAGGTCCGCCACCGATATGTCAAAAACCAGTAAAGTTAAGCATTATTTAACAAGAATATTTGAAAGTAGGGGGAAAAAGATGTATAACCAGCTATAACCTTGATTCTTATGACTTTGCTACCTGGAGATAAACTGTAATCTTTGAGAATCCATAATAAAAGTATTTTCTTCCGTTGATAGTTTTTTAACATTATTTATAAGTGTAATTATTTTGTAAAATACCTTTAAAATTAAAATAAGACATTAAACCTGTTTCCCACCTGGCCGTTCCAAGTTACCCTGTCTATGGGGTAAAAAGGTCTAGATAACAATTTTTTGAAAGACAGCAAAAAAAAACACATTTCTACAATTATGAAGTAGCTGGCAGTTTTACTGAATGTAGTCAAATAATTGTTCGTTTGAAATGTGTTATTTGTTGTGATATAATTGGTTTGCTTTTCATAATATAGTTTATATTTGCTCAAAGTCAAATTCCTTTACATATATACTTTTTATTAAATTTACTTCAATTCATCGAATGTTACTTGAAACTTTTCAAAAAGCAGTTCAAAGAAAGAATACTTAATTCATTTTCTCTCTCTCCTCTCTCCTCGCAGAAATTTGAAAATTTTGTATAAGCTCAATAGTATTATTTACAATTATACACAAAATCCAGAATCCAAAAAGAATCTGAATAACTTGAAACGTAATCAATAAGTCGAAAGACCAAAAATGACTTGGATTGGATTATACCATGTTTTCTATAGAAAGTGTATAAAGCTTCCAGTTTGATTGTATTGACACAATATAGACAAACTAATGTGGTTTATTTTTTTATAATACCTCATTGTATATAGCATTCAAACAACACATTCTTGTACACTTAAAATATTAATATTTTTGATTCTCTAGAAATTGTTTAGAATATACCTTACTTAGCAAAACAACGTTTGCCGGGTCAGCTAGTTTAATATAATTTTGAGAATAAAATATCAATTAAAAGCTAAATAATAAATAACATATTTAAAAAATAATTTATTTATTCATTTGGTAAATTGTAAATAATAAATAAAGCAATTCGTTGTCTTATATTTAATGGTGATATGAGTCGTAATGCACTGGAGCAGCGGCGTAGTGAGCTGGTGCGGCGTAAGCTACGGTTTTGGCAACGACTGGTGCGGCGTAGTGTGCTGGTGCAGCGTAGTGGGCTGGTGCAGCGTAGGCAACTGGAGCAGCTACTTTGGCTACGACTGGAGCAGCGACCTTCACGTGCAGAGGTTCACGGCGGACAACAGCTTGGAAACCGTGCACATCATCGGCGGTGTAGTCGACGGTACGTTGGTGACCATCGGCATCGACCAAGGAGTATGATCCTTGTACGGCGTCACCGTTGCGGGTCTCGTGCTGGCTCTTGGAGTCTCCGGTCAAAGGATCCTGCACGGAGTATCCGTAGCTGTATTGGGCTGGTGCTTCGTATTCTACGGTTTTCACTAAGGTCTTTGCTACGACGGGGGCGGCATATGCTACGGGGGCTACGGCTTTGGCGTAGTGGGCAGGTGCGGCGTAGGCGACTGGAGCAGGAGCTGCGTAATGCGCTGGTGCGGCATAAGCCACTGGTGCGGCGTATCCTGCAGAGTATCCATGAGAAACTGGTGCGGGGAGAACTCCGGCGCTGGCTACAGCTGCTACGGCAGCGAATAAGAATAACTGTGAAAAAATATTTAAAAATTAGCAAAATCTTAGAGAATAAAAATTATTATGTAATTTCCGGTAATGCTTACTTTGAATGCCATTATAAGAAGTGTTGTACGTGAAATACAGAAGTGAATTATATTCAAAGTTATCCACACTCTGGTTATATACTCTGAAAGTGTGTCCGTGAAATTTTACGCAATGTCATGGAGACAATCACCATGCAACATTTTTGGGCGTGGTAACATATCAATAAAATAAGTAACATATTATTGCAATAACTGGATCATATTCAAGATATAAAAAAATCATACAGAATATGTTCAAACGCATACATAAAGAGTTAATGCATTAAACATAGATTCGTAAAATTTGTATGGGGGTTAGGAGCGTGTTACAATAACGTGTGAACATCGTTATTTCTACGAAATAAAGATATAGTAAATATGCACGTAATGCAGGAACAAATGCAATGAACGATATAACTTGGGACATATTTAGCATGTTACAACTAGCGCTAGGATTTTCTTACATCTACCCCAGATATAATTTTTTTACATTGATCTAGATAATTATTAAAACAATTTAGCAATCACAAAAATTGTTACTTATTATCAAAGATTGATAAATTCGAAGCAAATTAAGATATATACAATTCAAAATTTACCGATAATAACAACGCAAACCGAAATTTTATGTTAGTATAATTCTTCATTACATGCCAAAGATGACGGACTTGCACAGTACTGTAAATTGCGTCCGCCTGCGGGACGGTTTACATGTCCAATCAATACAACAAAATATTTTATTATTGTTCAAGATCCTATTGATAAAAGTATGTTAATACTTACCACTATTACAATAAGCTCCTAGCTTAAGATTTGAAGAGCTGCAGATGATATGCAACTAAATGTCACTTATTTAAAAAAATATATAATGCGATTATAAATTCACTGCTTCTTCACAAATGATTACAAGAAAAATAGATTGCAAAACGTAGTTTATAAATCAATACATAAACTAAAACTTTCTTATATATTATCATGTTTTCAATATAAATTAATGTATAGTCATTACTTTTATAAACCATCATTTCTACTGAATACCGTTGAACTGAATTAATGTTTATTTTTTTATTATTACAATTTTTGATAATATTTTATTACCTATTAGTGTGATTGTAATAAATTGTTTCATGGGCTTAGCATAAACTATATAATCTCAATTCTCTAGTGAAAATTACCTCTCGTAGTTATATTTCTGCATATAAATTATAGAAATGTCAACAAATACTTAATTAGTCACAACTACTGTGTGTAAGGTATGTAGTTGCCATCTATTGAACAAAGCCATATAATTAACTTCCCGAAGGAGAAGTTTGTTATCATCGAAAATCGAACACGCTAATTTTATGTTTTCTCGACGTTTCAAGTCATTCTGAATCGAATGTGACCAAATTTGGAAAACGTATGAGTGTGTGTATGTGTGTGTGTGTATGTGTGTGTATGTGTACGTATATGTGAAGAGATTTTTTACCGTAAATTGATGTTTTGAAAAAACGCCTAAACCGATTTCAAAAATTTAAAAGCCATTCGATGCATCTCGATGAGGAATAGCGTTCCTGAGTTTTGTGCGACGATTTGTCGAGCCATTTCTTTGTAATTTGAAAAAAGTGTTAAACTTTTCGATCACATTTAAGCTTACCGAATCGATTTTAAAAATTCAAAAACTGTTTGAAAGATATTAGTTGGGAACTAATTACTGATTAGTTTTAGGTGAAAATCTACAGAGCCGCTTTCTTGTAATTAACTTTTTTTGGCGTTATATATCGTAGTAGTAAAAGTAAAGTAGTTTAATTTAAAAAATTCGACGATTAGACGATCTACTTGGTATAACGATAGAGTACTTGGTCCTAATGAACATACTAAACCATTAAAGTCCTACGGAAACTGGTTCAATTACAAAAATTGTTGATCTGTGAAAATTTGCTTTTAGAAAATACTCCGAGTAAACGTGTTCGTTCCTTTCTAATTCTGTTTAATTAATCCACTCGGAATACTTATAATCACTCATAAATTAATTTATTTTTTATTGTTTTTATTTATTCATGTAACTTGCCTAAAGGCAAAATACTAATACCAACTAGTTTCAAAAACAAATTATCGAATTGCCTAGTACGACAGGCTGTAATGAAAATGAAACAAAAAAAGATTGTAAGTTTGTAGATCAGTAGCCTTTGCTACAGCGGATTTACAAAGTATTGCTTTTGTTTTATTCAAATTATATCATAAATGTTATTTTTTCAGTAGTTCAAACAAAATCCTAGGAATAAATTATGTAAATTTTCATACACCATGTAAGTTTTTGTTCATATTAAATAGTTTAATCTAATATTAATCATTTAGATTACAATAAACATAAAATATACAAAAAATAAATTGTCTACTATTTACGCTAAAATAATTTGACAATATGTAAGGCATATTCAAATGTGCCTGTCAACGTCGTTCCGATAATCCCGTCAAAATATTTAATATTGTTCATAATTATAGCTTCAGTCGGTATATTACACAGTTTTCTAAATGCACGTTCTATTTATCCGTTTGCCTAATGTGGACATAATATCATCTTGGCTAGAGTAAATAAAAACGATTATGTTAAATTTTGTCCAAGGGTTTTGATTTGATTTTGATGTTTGAAATGAATATAATTTCTATTATTTATCCTATTCTCATTTGCATTCTACATTCATTTGTAGATACATAGTTTAAAAAATATAAATGACAAAATAAAAGTTCTTTTATTTAGTTAACTTCATTTTCTAATTTTCACATTTTTATTCATTTATGTTACTTTTGAGACCGTCTACGGGTCTATATACATATATACTTGTATTTATATAATGTTTATTATTTTGTTTCAGAATATCAGAATATGGTTTAGAATATCAGCTGTAACTTTCTTGCCATTATCAAAATAGTAGAAATCAAAATAATTATATTAGTAAATATTAAAGTTTATATTTTGTTTATGTATAATGTAGTGATTAGTTATCAATTGTCAATAAATCATAGTTAGAAAACACGATTTGCTAGATATACTTTTGCTTGGCAACAAGATCAATTATCATTCCAAACGACTATATCAATTTGAAAACATGGCATTCAAGGTAGTTATTAAAGAAACATTGTGGTAAATTAACGATATTCATAATGTTTCTAACATTCAATAATGTTATAGCTCTTTGTATGCGCCGCTGTATTTGCTGTCGCTCAAGCGGGAGTTTTGCCTGAAGTACAGAGTTACACACCCCCTGCGGGCTATGGAGCTGCGCCAGCAATTGCTAAAGCCGCCCCTGCTTCAGCAGCCTACGCCGCACCTGCTCCAGTTGCCTACACCGTACCTGCTCATTATGCTGCTCCCGTCGATGTAAAAGCCGTGGCTCCTGTTGCATCTACCGCAACCGTCGTTGCAAAACCTGCTGTACCCGTTTCATACTCCGTCCCCGTCAAGACCGTAGTTGAAGCCCCATCTGGGTACGGATACTCTGTACAAGATCCTTTGACAGGAGAATTTATGAGCCAACACGCTACCCGCAGCGGAGACACCATGCAAGGCTCCTACCCTGTTGTCGATGCCGATGGGCGCAAACGCACTGTGGATTACACTGCCGATGCAATTAACGCCGGATTACATCGTGAACCCCTCGAACCCAAAGACCCTACACCAGTTGAATCTAAAATGGTTGATCAAATTCAAACCAATGTCGCTGTAGCCAAAATTGCAGTTCCAGTTGTTCCTCCCGTTTCGACAGAGGCCGCAGCTCCTGTCAACTATGCTGCTCCAGCCGTACCTAAAGCTGTAACCCCAGTCGCTAACGCCGCCGCGTCTGTTCAAAACGGTGCTGCTCCATCACACATCTACCACCTATAATATACTTCTCAGCCAATAACAACCATTAAATTCTAAATTAATGCTGAATAAAAATTATTTATTGTACAGCCAGTGAAGTTCCCCTAATGGTTTCAGACCATCTGTCAACATTTTAAATTGTTAAGTAATTATGAACTTGTAAAAATTTATTATTATTATTTTGACTAAAATAAAATCTTGTGGAAATAAATGATGCTTCTTTTTTGCAACTTAAAAGTTCACTCAGAATAATACTAATAATTATAATGTGAATAAGAGTATTTAATGGGTTGGTTCTGAATGAATTTAAAATGTTCTTTGATTCACTTCAAATTACATTCAGCTTATTTTACTTCTACTTTTAGTAGAAGAACTTATGTCAAAAAATAACAAAATTATTCCTTCATATTCTATTTTATTATATAAGAGGTAATTAAATGATTCTTTATATAATCAGTTGAAATATTTTTCGTTCGAACTTTGTAAGCATTTGAACCGATTGCGATTAAAATGTACTAGGGAAAATCATATCAATTTTAGGTTTACATTTTATGAAAAGAAGTATTGAATATTTATGAAGGAAATAATTGTAAATGCATTATATAGGTGAAGAATCGCTTTTTAATGATATTACCATTTATTTCTTTATTACATGCGGTATTCAAGTATTCGGATTTCGGCGGAATAGTGTAAATCAGTGATTCCCAACCTTTTTTGGGCCCCGCCCCACCTTGAGGGTTATAAAAACGTTATGCCCCCCCATACAATTTTTTTTCCCAGAAAAAATGTGAATGATAACTTTTAAGATGAAATCGCTATTAAATTGTTATTAAACGTCATAAGTAAAATTTCGGAATAAGCCAATTTCAAACTAATTTTATTACTGTTTTTTTCGACATTTATTTAATGCAATACTTAAGCTAAAACAAAGATTTTATATTAGATTCTAATCTAAGCTTTTTTTTTCAATAAATTATAGCAAATTTTTGTACATATGATTACATTTGGGCATTTGGTTTCAGTTTCTTCATAAAGCCATTTCTTAACGAATCTACTTGACATTTTCTTAACTTAGAATCGAATTATATATTAATTTTATATATATTTTTTGTTAAATCTTTTTTAGTTATCAGATTGGCTACTAAGTAAGTGCGCATATTTTTCTAGAAATTAATAGTTATCGTTGACAATTTTTGCGTGGAATTAAACAACTTTGTTATGTATACCATTTTGATCGATGGCCTTTTGTTATTTTCCAAGAAGCATCATTATCCCAAGTTTATAAAACTTCTAGTTTTTATTAGCAAAAACTAAATTAGACACAATTTGACACCATCATGATTTTTTTTTAAATTCAAGGGTTTTAAATCAGATGGTTTGTGGCCAGGAACATTTGGTGGATGTGAAAAATAATTTTCACCAACACAAATAATTTTTAAACATAGCCAAATTGTTTCTATTAGCCCCATCGATTATTGCTTTAATTAGTTGGTCCAAAACTTTAACTGGACAATCAGAGGAGCATTGAGTGGAAAAAAAACAGAATGATATTTTCAAAACCAATTTTAACATAGCTGTTTTATAATGCTTCGACACCATAAACAGCACCTATTCTTTGGGATGATCGTTTTACCATTTGCAGAAATAAAAATTCAAAATTTGACTGAAATGTTTGTTTTGATATCCCATCCTTCAAAAAACACTCTGCATAACCGATCAAAAAATTAAAGCTAAATTTCTCACTATACATTACTACCTCAACCTCAACAAACCTAAAGAATCATTTGAAGCAATCCAACAATTAGAGTATAAGCCGCGCGTAGTGTCAACCTTGTACTATTTAAGGATACAATAAGAATTAGTTTATTTTAAATTAATTCCATCTTTAGCTATAGTTACAGACAGTGACTAAAAAACTCACATCATATTTACAATTTTTCTGCTTTTAAAGCCTTATATAAAACTCTGTTCTCATAAAGCTTCGCAATTAACTTTAGTATTTAATATCACTTTTCTTGTGCATATTTCAAGTCGAGTCTTGTCATTGACCTTAAAGCATTTATGCCAAGCAGTCAGAAACTTGATTTACCTACTTTTTAGTAATTTTCGTAAATTGGAATATAGAAGTTTAAAATAATTAATGAAGGGCAACTGGAACCCAAAGAATTGATGCATCCCGCAATATTCTCTTTCATAATGTTGTTGTTAGATTTACATAAAGTTTATTGCTTATATATCATTTTCAGATTATAATGGGTAGTTGTAATTTTATTATAAAGTAATGAGGAAAAGTCAAGTCAACCCGGCAGAAAAAACATGGAAATAAAAGCATGGTTGAAAACTAAAACCGTCGCGGCCAAACCGGGACACCATATTATTCTAAATCTAAGAAGCGTTTTTTTATTAAATGTTTTACCGATACTATACTACATTACATTAAAATCACCAAAATTTTCAAATTGCCCCCCTGAAATTACAAATTGCCGCCCGGTGGGGCGTGCGCCCCACGTTGGGATACACTGGTGTAAATGGTGCCAAATTTTCTAAATAACACGGAGTAACAAAATAGTGGTTGCAAGTCTGGGCATAAAACTTGAATAAACATGTAGAGTGCTAGTAATATAATAATCTTCTATATATATAAAAATAAGTCGGGTTTTCCTTCCTGACGATATAACTCTAGAACGCATGAACCGATTTCGACAATTTTGCATTCGTTGGAAAGGTCTCGGGCTCCGCAAGGTTTATAGCCAAGAAAATTAGTGGTGCATGGCATCGTGCCTTAATGCCAATTGCTGGAACTTCACGCACCATAATTAAAAATTCGTGTAATGACTTTAGTGAGAATTATCAGAATTATGCTTGGTTAAGTAAACGAGCAATTCTTGCCACAAATAAAAATGATGTACACGCCCTGAATTTTACCATTCAATCAAAAATTGCTGGCGATTTGGTGACATACCAATGATTCCGTTTGACTTCAAACGATTGTAATTTCCAGTTCGCCTTGCGTTCGCAATGACAATCAACATGTCGCAAGGCCAATCGCTTAGTGTTTGCGGGATAAATTTCAAATAGATTATTTAGAAAATCATTGTTTTCTACATGGGCAGTTTTACGTTGCCTGTTCACAAATTGGGAAACCATCCGCTTTGTTTGTGTTAACGTCAGACCAAAAAACAAAAAATGAGGTTTACCAAAGAGCAATTCAATGAAACGGATAATTGGCGGATTCACTTTCATTCACTTAGAGAAGTTCAACTAACAAACACTTAATTTTTGTAATCGAAATAAATAAATTACTATTGTGTAATAAAATCAAATTTTTTCTTTTCAAATATAAAACAAACAAAAAATTTCTTCATCTTTCTCACGAAACTATCTGGTGGCGAAACGGAGTTTGTCGGGTTTGCTAGTTACTTATAATAATTACTTTAATACAAATGGGAGTAGGCGACAAAAACCTGCCAAATAATTACCTAATATTCGGTATTCAGTCCCGGGACCATGCCGAATATTTGGTATTCAGCATTTTGCCGAATACACTATTTGTTGCAAGCCTAGTAAAAAGGCTTTGGTGGCTGAGAGTGGACAAACGACCGAAAGTATTAAATGAACAAATATATTAAAATTTGAGCATAATAACCGAAAATTGCTCATAATTTTACCAAAGCTCTGGAAACTGGAAAGCTCGTAATTTCCAAACAATGTGAAATATTTTTTTTTTAATTTTTTTCAAGGCAGTTAAGGTCAATACTATCTATATATACTATGTATATATATACATATACATAGGGAAGAGCGGGGTTAAGGGCCCATTGGTAAAAAGGTCCATATCTCAAAAACCAGTAAAGTTAAGAATTTTTCAACAAAAATGTTTGAAAGTAGAGGGAAAAAGAAAACTCGACACCACTTTTATTCTTATGATGTTGCTATCAGAAAACAATTGGCAATGTTTAAAAATCCACGACAAAAGCATTTTTGTCCTTGATATTTTTTCGGGTTGAGAGTTGATCAGTTCACGCAAATTTAGTATAATTTTGAAGTATACTTTATTCATATGTTCTACAAGTTGTGCTGTTAATTTTAAGTTAGATTCAACAGTTATTTCTATATAACCTCTATAAAAGCTCACACCTGGGTGGGGTAAAGTGTAAAAAATAAAAAATAGCATATAAGGAATTAAATTTAGTTAAAAAATGCTTACAGGGGATAAATTAAATAAATTATTATTGTTTATAAATTGTTATTGCAACTTTGCTGATAAATGTTTTTGATAAAAAACAGATCAAGGTTATTTAAAGTGTAAAAAGTGCACGCATGAACCATATATTTTGAATTGGTTGAATAATGTAGCTATTATTTTGTGAAATCCGTTCCAATTTACCCGGAAAAACTAGAAAATAGACATTTTAACTTAGGAAACACAAAATAAATATCAACTTTTCGCGCCAATATTTAAAAAATAAGAGAAAATAATTAAATTTGATTACGACTTAACTTTTTACGTCCACAAAAACATGTCGACCTATTTTGCATTATGTAGATTAAACATTTTCCGTTGTTTTTAATATAAAGAATTTATCGTAATACGAGTACGGAACTTTGTAAAATTCTTATTATGGGAACAATATTTAACGTTCTATGAATATCTTATGAAATAAAATCAACTGTTCAATAAATAAATTTTATTTAGAGGACATTTAAAATTTAACAGTTGTCATGAGTTAAGGAATATATCAGTGGTGGTAGTAGTGTGCTGGAGCAGCAGCGTAATGAACAGGTGCGGCGTAGGCGACTGGGGCGACAGCTTTAGCTACGACTGGAGCGCCGTAGGTGACAGGAGCTACGGCCTTTGCAACAACTGGGGCGGCATAAGCAACGGGAGCAGCAACTTTAGCTACAACTGGAGCAACAACCTTAGCTACGAGAGGTTCACGACGTACTACGGCGTTGAATCCGTTGACGGCATCGGCGGTGTAATCCACGGTGCGTTTGTGTCCATCGGCATCGACAACTGAGTAGGAGCCTTGCACGGCATCTCCGTGGCGGGTTTCGTGTTGGCTCTTGGAGTCTCCGGTCAAAGGATCTTGCACAGAGTATCCGTAACTGTACTCAGCTGGGGCTTCGACGACAGTCTTGACGACAGGGGCGGCGTATGCAACGGGAGCTACGGCTTTTGCAACGACGGGTGCGGCATAGTGAGCTGGTGCGGCGTAGGCAACTGGAGCAGGTGCGGCGTAGGCAACTGGAGCAGGAGCGGCATAAGCTACTGGTGCTTTAACAACTGCTGGCGCAGCTGCGTAAGCCACTGGGGAAGAGTAACTGCTTGAGTAACTATGTACTTCAGGCAAAACTCCTGCGCGAGTGACTGCCAACACGGCGGCGAATGCAAAAAGCTGTAACAATATTAAAAGTTAGACATATTATTTTATGTATTTTAAAATTACTACTCATATTTATGTGACTACCTTGAATGCCATATTATCAAATCGATACAATCGTTTGGAATGATAATTGATCATACGGTGCTGAGCTTATATATAGCAAATCATGTCTCCTATCAATGATTTCATAATAGAACATACAATCTCTTAAATGCTAGTAAAGATGAACTAAACTAATAATAGAAACACAAACTTGAAACAACTAAGATAAAATTGAATAAATATATGAGACATTATCAAAAATTATGATTTTATTTCATTAATTATAATAAAATTATAAATATTAATTATTAATGTATTTTCATGAAAAATATCAAAATAGGCTCAACGCAAAATAAACAACCTCTTTATATATATATATATATATATATATATATATATATATGTATATATTTATATGTATATATATACGTGTGTGTGTAATTTTTGAAAAATTACGTTCCAAAATTATAATATTATTTTCAAATATTGGCAAAAACTTTATTTTCTCCAATATTTCATTTAATAACCTGACTGAATTATAAAATCTATTTTCAATATAAGAGAAATATGTATTATAATCAATATTAATTAAAACTATTGAAATATGCCCCAAATCCTTTGAGATACAACGTCGATGTATATATATATACAACGGCATATACATATATATATATATATATATATATATATATATATATGTATAAATAAGTTAATAAATATTTCAAAGATCATAACTGTAAGCCGTGCAAATACATGACAATGAATATGTCGTTCATTGATTGATCCGATCGATATTACACAATCTCATTAACATCAGAATGAGAGGTTTGGTATATAAGAGCGCAGTCGCATAGAATTTTATCTAATTCTTGCATTAGAATTTCTTCTAACAACTATTCCAATGGCATTCAGGGTATAAATTATTTTCTTAATGAAACTTACTTTATTTATTCAAATTAAGTAAAAATGTATTGTCTATACATTTCTAAATTTATTTACAGCTTTTTGCATTCGCCGCCGTGTTGGCAGTCACTCGCGCAGGAGTTTTGCCTGAAGTACATAGTTACTCAAGCAGTTACTCTTCCCCAGTGGCTTACGCAGCTGCGCCAGCAGTTGTTAAAGCACCAGTAGCTTATGCCGCTCCTGCTCCAGTTGCCTACGCCGCACCTGCTCCAGTTGCCTACGCCGCACCAGCTCACTATGCCGCACCCGTCGTTGCAAAAGCCGTAGCTCCCGTTGCATACGCCGCCCCTGTCGTCAAGACTGTCGTCGAAGCCCCAGCTGAGTACAGTTACGGATACTCTGTGCAAGATCCTTTGACCGGAGACTCCAAGAGCCAACACGAAACCCGCCACGGAGATGCCGTGCAAGGCTCCTACTCAGTTGTCGATGCCGATGGACACAAACGCACCGTGGATTACACCGCCGATGCCGTCAACGGATTCAACGCCGTAGTACGTCGTGAACCTCTCGTAGCTAAGGTTGTTGCTCCAGTTGTAGCTAAAGTTGCTGCTCCCGTTGCTTATGCCGCCCCAGTTGTTGCAAAGGCCGTAGCTCCTGTCACCTATGCCGCTCCAGTCGTAGCTAAAGCTGTCGCCCCAGTCGCCTACGCCGCACCTGTTCATTACGCTGCTGCTCCAGCACACTACTACCACCACTGATCTATTTCTTAACTGAACACAACTGTTAAATTCTAAATGCTCTCTGAATAAAATTTATTTATTGAATATGTTGTTTTCTTACAATTTAATCTATTTTCTATAGGGAATTTAAATAAGGAGGAAATACGAACAACATGGTTATTGGTTTTTCAATTAAATTTATCAATTCAATAATATTATAACTAGTCTCAACATTTTTTTACTCACCTTTATCATTGACTACCGGTAAGATCTTATTTTAATTAAGCAGGAACTGTAATAATATATTTATTAAGGAAAAATTCAACCAATTACAAAAACCATTTTGTGTATTGCAGGGACAAAATGACATATATAATATGAATATTCTTCAGATGCTAATTTTTGAGAAAGAAGATCACAAATAAATTATTTCGTCCTTTTTCGGAGATTAGTACATGAAGCATGAATTCAAAAAGTTCACGTCACACGTCTTGATCAATATTTGCCGGGCTAACAACAGATAAGAAAGGTTTTGCAATAAATGCAGTTTTTTTTATTTTACTGGTTGCTTTTTTGGTCTGTCATTAGCAACTGTTTTTTGCTTAATCACCTTTGATAGGTTTTAATTCATTTTCTAGGCCCTTAACACTTGAGTAATAGTAATATATGACATATTGTCCATTGTTTGAATATATCATTTTGTCCAAAATTAAATAAAAAATGAAGAACTAATCAAAATTTCACCAAAAACTTGATTATTGCACTGAAATTGATCAAAATTACTAGTACTGTAGCATATGTTAATTGATTTTAATTGAAAGAATTATAAATATAAACACGTTTAAACCGATTACTGTGACAAGGCTGTGACAAATACTCTTAACATCTGCCAGGGTTGTAATTATGGTTCTCTTAGTATTATAAAGTTGTTAAAACGTTAATAAAACCAGCCCATTTTTTAAATAAGAACAATGTGTCATTATGTTCATAAATACCATTTTGTCCGTATTACTCCTATATATTTCGGATTTTCTGGCGAAAACAAATCTACTTTCTAAGAATTTAATTATATACTACATTATCTCGCTTAGCAAAATGGTTACACATAACGTTTTAAATTTATCCCTATGTTCCAAATTTTAAATCAATAATAATCTCATTGTTTATTGCTATAATTTAATATCGCCATCTTGCGAATTGATCGTGCGCTTCGGTATCGAACATATCCACTTCTTATTTGCTGTTTGCAATATTAGCATATTCATCAAGGTGCTTTTACATTTCTCTATTCTGTATAACAACCAAAAGCGTTATTTGTGCTAATTTTTTACTCTACATTTTTTGTTTCAAAGTAAATTTGCATACGGGTTACACGATTTATATTATTCACCCGATTCATATTCTGTAAATTGGGTTGTTAGATATATATATATATATATATATTAGGGTGGTCATTAATATGGACATGTTTGAATTTTCTTGCTTCCAAGGGCTCAAATGGTTCCAAATTGATAAAAAACAATTCTCTGAAAGTTTTATCTCTTAATATTAACTTTTAGATAGTGCGCAATTCAATCAAACTTCGTATGGATAAAATAGCATGGAATTTTTTTTGAAAATTGAACAAAAAAAATTTTAGGTAGAACTTAGCGACAAATTTTAAATAAAACTCATTCATTTGTTCGCTAAATTATATCTAAAAACATTTACATTATTAAGAGCTAAGACTTTGAGGGAATTGTTTTTTATCAATTGGGAACCATTCGAGACCTTGGGAGCAAGGAAATTCGAAAATGTCCATATTAAGGACCGCCCTAATATATATATAGTATTATATTATCCTATTCTTCGCGGACAAAGTAATTTGACTAGAGGAATATTGTTTTTGTTATATGAATTATATTTTTGTTTTTCGGTTTCTTCATGCTGAAGCTATACATAGTTAATTTTGTATTCAGAAAAATATTAGGGTTTTCCCATTACTCATTATTTAGCTAGAGCATAATTTGAGATTATGGTTTGCCAACCAGAATATCAGATTTAATACCTATCTTGGTGTCAAGATAAAGTGACATAGATTTATATGACATAGTTATATGAATTATATTTTTGTTTTTCGGTTTCTTCATGCTGATGCTATACATAGTTAATTTTGTATTCAGAAAAATATTAGGGTTGTCCCATTGCTCATTATTTAGCTAGAGCATAATTTGAGATTATGGTTTGCCAACCAGAATATCAGATTTAATACCTATCTTGGTGTCAAGATAAAGTGACATAGATTTTTACATGAATATATATTTGGAAATAAATTTCCAAACGAAATCAGTTCTTTTAATAATATTTTAAATTAGCAATATGAGAAAAAATATGATAATGTAAATATTATACATCAAATCTTATGGTTGCCTTCAAAATATGCAACGTAATTATAAATACGAGATAACCATAGCTCACAGGACTCCCAATTCTGATTTCTGTTCAAATATGAAAAGAACAACATATATTACATTTTATATTGTTTCTGCCATATTGAATAAAATACTAATATAGAACAATAATTAAAAAACGTTATGAGAAAACAGGGTACTTAAATTAGCTGATTGTTTTTTATCTAATTATAATAGTTTACTTTTAAAATTCAATAAAAAAAAAAAGAAAATTCGGATTGCATTAAACAGAGTACAGCGGAGCAAAAAGGTCCAATTTGATTTTCAGTAATAACACTCTAAACCAAATGAACTACAACATAGCAAATAACACTGATCAATTAAACAACTATCGAACTATGTTCAGTAAAATTTCCAATTAATTTATAATCATAGAAATATGTTTTCGTAGCTATTTTTTTAAACTTTGTTATCTATTCCTTTTTACTCTATAGACTGGGTAAAAAAAAACATCCAGGGCGCAGACAGATATTTTAAAATGTTCTTATTTTAAAATTCAAAGGATTTTTTCGAAATAATAACTACATTGTTTAACTACTACAAAATACAAATTCTGTGGGCAACTTTTTTTTACAAAGATCATGCTGCCTATAATCTTGATTTAGTATTTTATCTAAAATATTCGTCAGCAGATTTCGAATTGTTATTATTAAGTTAAATAATCTATTGTAATTAACTACTCGTAGGGTAAGTTATAGTAATCACCAAAAAATCGGAAATGAAAATATGTATGTATCTTTACGTTTCAAAAATTTCTGTATATTTTGGCATACCTTCAAAAAAATGGATGTATGTGTGTGTACGTGTGTGTGTATATGTGTGTTTGTGTGTGCGGATATTAATTTTCGTCGACGATTTCAGAAACACCGATCAATCGATTTGAATAATTAAAAAAAACATTCGATTTATTTTGATAAAGAGACGTTCTGATTAGTTTATGGCGAAGGCAGGTTCAGCCGTTCCGAAGATACGGGGCAAAAAGTTCCAAAACGGTAACTCAGTTTTTAAGAGAAAGGAGAGTCCGATTTTAATAATTCAAAAAAAATTTTACTTGTATTGGCAAGATGAAGAACTGATTAAATTTTTGGAAAGCAGGTCCAGCGATTATGGACTTTTAATAAAAATATGTTTAAAAATGCCATTTGGCGGTCAAAAATGTTTATTGGAATATGTACATCAAATTATCAGATATTTTATAGAAATTTTAATAATAATGAGTACACATTTTGTGTATTTTTTTGGGGTTTAAGTTATTTTAGAATTCATATAAAAAAAATTTTTGAACGTGCCTTAGAAATAACAATACATCTACCCTTCTACAAATTACAAAATTTTTTTAGAACCCTATTATGAATGTAACCCAATAATTGAAAATTCATTCTGAATTCGGATCAGAAGATTGTGACATAACATGTTACAAGACGATTGATCTGAATCGATTTTAAATAACGATTGTGTGGAACGGATATCGAAATGCATGAATTCATGATATCTGGATCGTCGTCCGGTCCTTGATGGCCCTGGTCGGCCGATGGAATAAAAAGTAAAAGCGCCGCGCCGCGCCCGTCACGCAGATCACACGCACGAACAGTATTAGCATATAATGAGAAAGTGGACGCTGATCCACAATGAGCGCAAGTTCTGCAAACTGGTTTACCAAATCGAACATGTGCAGAACCAAATATCGCCGAATATTGCAATGAGAGACATTAATATGCATGTGTCGCATTAAAACGGGATCACCTTTGTTGCATCATAAATGGAGCATTTGACAAAATGTGGGGACACTATGTGTATCGAATCACTTTTGTCGAAGCGATATTTATTGATAACAAATTGATTGCGATATTGTTTGAGTGCAAATAAGCTACATGTAACCTGCGGCAGTCAGAATAAGTAGGTTTAAGGTTAATGATTTGTTATTATCAATATTACCCAAACATATATATATATATATATATATATATATATATATATAAGGCCTACTTAAACTCTTAAATATATGACAATGAATGTATTAAAGTACGTAGTAATAGACTTTATTTCTCTAGACTCGTAAAAAAAAACACAATGCGCGTCTTCAACACTACAAGGACAGAGGTTGGTTGTATACCTATTTTACCTGGTGCAGTCAATTTGACTCAATCGTCAAAAATGCTGGTTTTTTAAATAATAAAATTTCATTATGAATAAACTTTATCCTAAAGTCTTTTCGCATTCATTTTTAGTTTATTTTTGCAGTAAAACTTCTTTAGGCGCGACTAGGCTATAAATTTGTACAAATGCAACGGAAATGCGTTACGCCAGAACTGTACTTCATTCGCTTTCAATGAAATCATTTCAATACGGGTCGATTGTAATTAGTCGTCGTGTATCTGTCGTTGTATGCGTACGAAATCAACGTTGTATGCTTACCGATACCAACAAGGATATCGGCATAGATAAATAAATATTTTAAAGTTACATTTAAAGTACATATCTTGATTTAATGAAAAATGCCTGAATCAGAAGAATATTTTACCCTGTTCCTTGAAAGTTATAAAACAAATTAAACATTTGTGCCGGGTACTAAACGTAAGTTTATTGATTAGAAATTATTTCTATATTATTCGTAGTTTCTATAAATCTTAGAAGTTATTTAAATGGAAAATATTTTTTAGGCAAGACAGATATTATATGAAAGAATGAGATTATATCGCCAGCGAAAAAGTAAAAAATACAAGCTCTTTTATTTGGCTCTTTTTGCTTCGTATCTGTGAAACGGCTAGGCCTGTCTTTGTGACTCAAATAGCGAAAAGTAAATATAAGTATATGAGATAAAATTTGACTTTTCGTCCGTTTTTTTTTCAAAAAAGGATGCGCCAAAATAGTTTAAAATCCACTTCAAAAAACTTGATAAAGATTCAGATTTGGGCAAAAAAATAACTTTGGCGATATTAATGAATTGAATAAATTCGAAATTATTGTTTAAAGTCATTTAAAACTTGGGACTATAAAGCTACCAAGTATTCTTGAATTGGAAATTCAAGAAAAACACACATTGGAGAAAGCCTATTGTTAACTTCGCGTAGGGCAAGTTATAGTAATCGCAAAAAAATCAAAAATGAAAATTTTTATATATCTTTACGTTTCAGAGGTTTCTGAACATTTTGGCATACCTTAGAAAAAATGGATGTATGTGTGTGTGTGTGTGTGTGTGTGTATGTATGTATGTATGTATGTATGTGTGTATGTATGTGCGGATACAAATTTTCGTCGACGATTTCGGGAACACGGATCAACCGATTTGAATAATTCAAAAAACATTCGATTCGTATTGATAAGGAGACGTGCTGATTAGTTTTTGGCGAAGGCGGGTCTAGCCGTTCCAAAGATACGGGGCAAAAAGTGCCGAAAACGGTAACTCAGTTTTTAAGAGAACGAAGCGTCCGATTTGAATAATTCAAAAAACATTTTACTTGTATTGACAAGATGAAGAATCGATGAAATTTTCATGAAGGTAGGTCTAGCGGTTTCGGAGATATGGAGGAAAAAGTAAAAAAATGAGCCATTTGGCGGTCAAAAATGATCATTAGACATATGCACATCAAATTATCAGATATTTTAACAATAAGTATAATTTTGGTTTACATTCCTATGGGTTCCGTACCAATGTTTACGCGTTAGACGTCGACGCGGCGCTTACGCGGTTTGATATTTCGTCTTTATGCAGTTAAAGCAGTACGATTGCTTTGAAAAGAAAGTTCAGATCTTCCACAATATGTCAAAATAAAGAAAAAAATTTTTTTTTTCAAAAAAAAAATTAAAAATTTTTTTTTTTTTTTTAAATTTTTTTTTCAAAAAAAAGTAATTTTTTGTTCAATTTATAGTTTCTCAAAAATCTTATTTTTTCGAAGTAAAATTTTTTCAAAAATGTTAAAAAAATAATAATTTTTGGTACGGGAAGTTCCAGCAATTTGCCTTAAGGCACGATGCCTTAATTGCCTTAAGACAGAATTCCACTTACAGCTAGTTTCTTTTAGTACTGCAAATGTTGTTCAAAACAAATTTGTGGAACATATTGAAAAATTGTACAAACCTGAACCAGTACACCCGCGCATAACGCTAATAGTAGCCCGCATGGAATTCGTTCGGTCGGAAAGCAGTGCGCGATGCTTTACGCGCGGGTATACTGGCTCTGGTTTGTTCAATTTTTCAATGAGCTCCACAAATTTGATTTGAACAATATTTGCAGTACTAAAAGAAAAAACAATAGGCTTTTAAATAACGCTAATGATAAAGTAATTAAACAAAACGCACTGTCCGAAAACAGTAATTGAACAATTATTTAGCATATATTAATATACATTATGTGGTCTAAGCCAATATGAGTAGAATCACGTAATTTTTTTTTAATATCTTCTATGGTTACGACAAAAATTGAGTTTGAAAAAGGGGCCACTTTGGAATATTTTCAATGATATCTCGGCCATAAGGTGAGATACAAAGTTGAAGTTTGTTATATCGGATGTTTTCAAATAGATCTTCAAAATGGCGTATAAATTATTCAAATACAAGGATATTAGTCGATTATGTATGGCAATGCGCCCACACCCTTGCGTTGTGATTATTATGCACTCGACTGGCAGACCCTTGCAATCGCCAGAATGGGCTGGCTTTTTACATATGCTTTCTGAACAGTTAAAAAAATACACCCTCAAAATTTGAGCCTTGTGGGAGCAAGTTATGAAAAAAAATTTTTTGACATTTTCACAAATCGAAGGAATGATGACGAAATCGCGGAATGACTGCCAGAATGGTACTTTCTTAATAATAATAAAATATCATTAAAAAAAATTCTAGCTATTACGAGTACGAGACATGTAAAATGTGTTTCTCAATCTTGAAACACATTAATTGATACATACATACTTAATTTTGGACTTTTCAAAATTTGCTTCTACTAACAATAAAAAAGTGATTAAAAATCACGAAACTGTCACTTTATAATTGAGAAACATTGCATTCAAGAGCAAATATATTGCTCAATGATTCAAATATTCTGCAAAAACACTATTGGACACTTCGTAATTAACATTTAGATTCAATGAAAAAATATTTTGACAAACTCGATTTTTTGCAAGACAAAATTCAAATTCAGTCTAATTTGAATATGTAGTATTTACGATGAACTTTAAAGACTTAATTCACATAATATTTGGTCTAGTTTTTTTCTTTTAATTTTTTTTAGTAACAACAATTCTGATTGAAAAATGTATTTATATTTATATTTATATTTATATTTAGATTAGAGAGGGAGAGGGAGAGGGAGAGGGATAGGGAGAAGAGAGGGAGAGGGAGAGGGAGAGGGAGAGGGAGAGGGAGAGGGAGAGGGAGAGGGAGAGGGAGATTTAGAGGGAGAGAAGGGAGAGGGAGAGGGAGAGGGATTTATATAGATTTAGAGAGATTTATAGAGATTTATATTTATATTTAGATTATATTTAGATTATCTATATTATATTTATATTTATATTTATATTTATATTTATATTTATATTTATATTTATATTTATATTTATATTTATATTTATATTTATATTTATATTTATATTTATACAACACAATTGTACAATTATAGATATTAATGGTACATAACTTAAATTAATAGATAATAATACATACTATATTAAATAAAATATAATTTAAAAAAACAAATGTTCACTTAAAATCTTATTCTAATTTTCACAGAATAATTTACTGAAAGTTATAACTCAAATACTCATCAATAGAGTAAAAAACTTGCTCTTTGTATATTGTTATAATAATTCATTTCAAAATGTCCACATTGATTTTAAAAATTCAAGAATTATTTTATAACATAGCCGGTAACACAGCGTTGTTATGGCAACGCTATCTCATCTTTTTTTTCCTTGGTACTAAAAACGGTGAAAATGTCTATCTATTTTTTGTGCGATCAGGCGTTTCACACATAAAACTGTATGTATTATATTATGCGCATTACAAAAATTCGGTTATGATAACTTTCTTTCTAGGTTTGTTTATATGTAAAATACGCCTGATGGTACAGCAAATAGACAGCATTTTTACAGTTTTTAGTACCAAGAAAGAAGGGTGAGATAGCGTTGCCATAACAACGCTATATTATCTGCCACGTTATCACAGAATTGGCCCCAAAAAAGTTTTTTTCAAAAAACTGTTTTGATTGCATAAAATGTATGTTTTCAACTACTGTAGATTTATTTTATCTCAAATAACAGAATTTTACAGAAGTTATATATAATATAATATATAATTATAATATAATATATAAATCAGGAGTGAGTACCATATTTTTTATTGTTATCATATTGTATTATATTATTGACAGTTATCTTGAATTTGTCTTTGGAATCATACCTATATTTTGTACCATGTTCATTGACATGTACATAATGCAAAAACTTAAAAGTCAAAATTATAAATGAAAAAAGACAATGCTGCTGATTCGTTTTATTCGTGATTTATTATAAATTTTTATTACCATGTGATATTGATTTATTTATCAATCACTCAATCATATACATATATTTGAAATTTGTATATAAATTCATATATGCATACACACATACACACATATATATTGACATTGACTGAAGGTAACATTGATAGTCAAGATTCTACAATTTCGTCAGAATATATTTATGCACCATATATCAATATTTTACAAGGCAAAAAACATATATTCACAAGGATACGACTAATAATAATGTGGTTTAGTTTAACATAAAATTAATATTAATATTTTATAACTCCACTCATGTGAATTGTGTTAATAATATAAAAATATTTTGGATCTATAAGGAGTTATTAAATACACTTACGTCATAATTCTTGAAAAAATTATATTTATTCAAGCTATCATTATTCAAAAGTTACTGAAATTCAACAATATAGTATGAATGATCTTATGCAGCCTTCTTAATGCAATAATAGTAACTAATTAGTACATTTAATAAATAAAAGTGTATTTTATGTTGGTGTAAAATAATTTATTTAAATTAATTATCTAAACATGTTCATAAACTGGTGTATTATTTACCAAGCTGGGGCAGAGTATGACAAAGGAGCGTAGGATTTAGCCAAAAGTGGGGCGGAGTAGTGAAGTGGAGCAGCGTAGGAAGCGTGGGAGAGAACTGGTGCGGAATAAGACAATGGAGCTACGGCTTTGGCAAGGAGTGGAGCAGGTGCGGCGTAGTGTGCGGAGTAGGAAAGTGGTGCGGCATAAGACTTGGCTACGTATGAAGCAGGAGCAAAGTGAGCTGGTGCTGAGTAGGCCAAGGGAGCGACGGTCTTGGTCACCAATGGAGCAGAGTAGTGTGCAGCAGGAGCGTAGTGAGAGTAACCGTAGTGAGATGGTGCGTAGTGAGATGAGTAAGACAGAGGAGCTACGGTCTTGGTCACCAATGGAGCAGCTGCGTAGCTGTGCAGGGCTGGCGCAGTGTAGGCTGGTGCGGCGTAGGCCAAAGGAGCTACAGTCTTAGCCACTAAAGGAGCGTGGGCAGCGTAGCTGTGCAGGGCGGGTGCGGCGTAGGCAGATGAGTATAATCCTGCGGATCCTAGGTATCCTGCTCTGGCAACCGCCAACAAGGCAGTGAATACGACCAGCTGCACAAACAAATAAATAAAATATAGATTAATTGCAAGAGTTGTTATCTAATAATTGTAACATTGATTTTATTGATTATTTACCTTGAATGCCATTTTAGATATTTGAGTTTGTAGAAGAAGATTGATATTGTGAAGAGTATTCAATATGACGGTCTTTTATACTTTAATAACCGTCTACGAAATGAATCATATTTTACGCAGCAACACGCAAAATTTGTTGAGGGAAGGGGCATGGACATGGACATTACATTCACATATGATTAAATATATATATATATATATATATATATATATATATATAATATGTGTGTGTGTTGAGAGTGTTTAAATTTGATGTTAAAATATATGCTTAATTTATTGGAGGGCGTAACATCAAGTAAAAATTAAAGATTTTCAAAACATCTTTATTTTTTCATACGTTTTGACGTAGAATTCTGCAAAATAAAAGACAATTCATTGCGAACTTTTAATTTTTATTTATAGATTTTAAAAATTCTGGGATTGTTTTATTAGTAGCAAATACAGATACTCTTTTATGTTTTGTCCAACACTTCAAATCATGGAAACCTAATAATAAGTAACAAAATATACACTAATCAAATTAAAATATTTTACGTATTTTTTTAGCAATTTTGATTAATTTTATTTATTTGAAACGAGTCGATATGAAAATTTGATTCACTTTTTAGAAAACGTATCGAACTTGTGGCTAAACATAGGCATTTATTTTATTCTTGGTTTGACAAAACCCAAGTAACATATCAAGTGTATTTCGTATACAACTCTACTGCAGTGCACGAATTAAATAAACGATAAAGAATAATAATAGAAGATGCTTAATTAATTATTAAAATTGAAATACATCTTTGCAATTATTTTTTCTAACTAGTGGTGTAAGGCATCGTGCCATAAGGCAAATGACTGAAACTTCACGTACCGTAATGATTTTTTTAAATTTTTTTTAACTTCGTAGGGTAAGTTATTATGATCGTTTCATTGTTTTTATTAACTTCCCGTAGGGTAAGTTATTGTAATGGGCCGAAAATCGGAGCATCCGATTTGAATGATCTAAAAAACATTCAATAAGTAATGATTGGGAGAAGTTGTTATTAGTTTTTGGCAAATGCAGGCCCAGCCATTTTGAAGATACGGAGCTAAATGTACAAAAAATGACAGTTTTTGAGAGAACTAAGCGTCCAATTCAATTGATTCAAAAAACTTTCTGCTTGTCTTAACAAAATAATTGATTTTGGAAAAAAAAAATTTTGTTTCAACTTTTTTTACATTTTTTTTTGTTTTAATTTTTTGTATATATCAAAAATAAGTCAGATTTCATTTTTAATTCTGACTATAGTTCTAATGTACTTCAAACAAATAATTTCAACTTTATAATTCAGTTTATATAATTCTTATAAATATTAGACAATGTTACAATATTTATAATAATCTATTTGAAAACATTCTGTATTCCTGGAACATTTCGTTACGGTACGGGAAGTTCCAGTAATTTGCCTTAAGGCACGATGCCACACACCCCACTAGTTTTAATTGCAATCTGTCATACTTAGGACATACAGTCATTGTTTTAACTTTTCTTATTATATGAATCTTGAATGGATGGCAACCCAGTAGGTGTCCAGTCCAATTATGACTAATTATCTATACTCGAAGTATTTGCTGACATTTTTATTATATATGCAACTATACCCACGAGACGTAATGAAATATTCGAGGAATATTTAATGTTTTCAAATAGATTATTATAAATACTATAACTTATATATGTTCACAGAAAAGTAAATAAACAAAACTCAATCAATCAAATTTAAAATGGAGGACATTCTCAAATATTTATAAGAATTATGAAAAACGGAATTGCAAAGTTAAAATTATCTATTTGAAGTATATAAGTGAGCTTCAAAACTTTAGTTAGAATTAAAATTAAAATCCGAATTATTTTCGATATTCAAAAAAAAATAGTTTTTTTGAAATTTAAAAAAAAGGAAAAAAGTGTTTTTGTTTAAGAGCAGTTGTTTCGTTAACACAAGCAGAAAGTTGTTTGAATCATTTTTTCTTTCATTCATTTTTTGAATCCTTAAAAATAAAAATAATTTATTATAAGTTAATATTTCTTTGTACTAAATAAAGTTACTAAATATAATTTAAGCATGTTGCTTTCATCTAAATAATTAAAATTCATATTTGCAATTAATCATATGTTTGTGTTATGCTATATTACTTTATAAAATCTTTTGCAAACTTATTAAATTTTATTAACTTATTACTTAAAAATTCCTACTGATTATTAATTACTACTGAGTTTTTCTTGTATTTTCTAAAATATTCGGAATTTATTTTACATCTCAATTCATTACTGTACACGTACATACACACACATACATATATATATATATATATATATATATATATATAAAATAAAATACTCGGAATTTATTTTACATCTCAATTTATTACTGTACACGTACATACACACACATACATACATATATATATATATATATATATATATATATATATATATATATATATGTATATATAAATATATATATTAATTTTGTTTATTTCGACTTTATATATATATATATATATACATATATATATATATATATATATATATATATATAAAACAAATGATAAATTTAATAAATTTAAAATCGATATCCCTTTCCATATCTATTTTTGCGTGTGATTGCGTAAATTATGATCGATATCGCACTCGGTAACATATATAAGACAAACGTGTTTGATGTTCATCACAGCACACTTCTTCGTCGCATATCTCAAGTAAACGAAACGAAATGGCATTCAAGGTAAGATATAAAGAAATATAATAAGTAATTCATAACCAAAAATTTGCTTTTTTTATTCACAAATTTACTTGTTAATTTTAGTTGGTCGTATTCACCGCCTTGTTGGCAGTTGCCAGAGCAGGATACCTAGGATCCGCAGGATTGTACTCATCCGCCTACGCCGCACCTGCCCTACACAGCTACGCTGCCCACGCTCCTTTAGTGGCTAAGACTGTAGCTCCTTTGGCCTACGCCGCACCAGCCTACACTGCGCCAGCCCTGCACAGCTACGCAGCTGCTCCATTGGTGACCAAGACCGTAGCTCCTCTGTCTTACTCATCTCACTACGCACCATCTCACTACGGTTACTCTCACTACGCTCCTGCTGCACACTACTCTGCTCCATTGGTGACCAAGACCGTCGCTCCCTTGGCCTACTCAGCACCAGCTCACTTTGCTCCTGCTTCATACGTAGCCAAGTCATATGCCGCACCACTCTCCTACTCCGCACACTACGCCGCACCTGCTCCACTCCTTGCCAAAGCCGTAGCTCCATTGTCTTATTCCGCACCAGTTCTCTCCCACGCTTCCTACGCTGCTCCACTTCACTACTCCGCCCCACTTTTGGCTAAATCCTACGCTCCTTTGTCATACTCTGCTCCAGCTTGGTAAATAAATATTATACCAGTTTATGAACATGTTTAGATAATTAATTTAAATAAATTATTTATACCAAAACACATAAAAATGTTATTAACTTTCCGTAGGGCAAGTTGTAGTAATCGCAAAAAAATCGAAAATGAAAATTTTTATATATCTTACGTTTCAGAAGTTTCTGAACATTTGGACCTTGCATACCTTGGACAGAATGGAAGTATGTGTGTGTGTGTGCGCGTGTGTGTGTGTGTTCGGATACAAATTTTCGTCGACGATTTCGGGAATACGGATCAACCGATTTGATTAATTCAAAAAGCATTTGATATGTATTGATAAGGAGACGTGCTGATTAGTTTTTGGCGGAGGCAGGTCTAGCCATTCCGAAGATACGGGGCAAAAAGTGCCGAAAACGTTAACTCAGTTCTTAAGAAAACGGAGCGTCCGATTTTAATAATTCAAAAAACATTTTACTTATATTGACAAGCTAAAGAACTATTTTCATGAGGGCAGGTCTAGCGGTTTCGGAGATCCAACGAAAAATGTAAATAAAAATGCCATTTGGCGGTCAAAAATGATCATTAGATATATGCACATCAAATTATCAGATATGTTAAAGAGATTTTAACAATAAGTATAAATTTTGTTTACATTCCTATGGGTTCCGTACCAATGTTTATCCGTTAGATAGCGACGCGGCGCTTACGCGCTTTATATTTTGTCTCTATGCAGTTACTTTCAAAAAAAGTTCAGATCTTCCAAAATATGTCAAAATAAAGAAAACATTTTTTTTTCAAAAAAAAAAATTTGAACAAACATTTTTTTTTTAATTTTTTTCAAAAAAAAGTAATTTTTTGTCCAATTTATAGTTTCTCAAAAATCTAATTTTTTCGAAGTAAATTTTTTTCAAAAATGTTATTCGTTTTTAAAAAAATAATAATTTTTGATACGGAAAGTTCCAGCAATTTGCCTTAAGGCTAGATGCCATGCGCCCCACTAGTTTAATGTTAACGTCGGTTCAATAGCCTAAATGAAAACGCATCTGAATCTTAATATCATAATGTAAGAAATTTTTGCATGAAAGTTTATTCATAAAATATAAAAGAAAGATGTATAGCGTTAAAGTTATTCTTTTCGAAGACTTAATTTTCATTTATTTAGATAATTTTGGTTTTCTTACTCATTTTATTACATTTATCTTATTTTATCGATATATTGAAACAATATATATTATTAATATAAATACATAAATTTTATATTATATATTCATTTAGTTTATGCACGAAAAATTATTTTTCAAGAAGAAATTTTCTTCGGATGAATGTTTTACTTTGTGAGCTACCAAAATCTATATCAGTGTCAATTCAGTGCATGATAAAATTTTTAATTCTACTGAAAACTATGTTTTTAAATTTTTGTTTAGTGTAGAGAAAATACAAAAAACAGTAGATTTTCTGTGGGTGTTTAAGTTTATAAAAAATAGTTTGGCACAAAATTCTGTACCGAATAAAAAAATGTAAAATGCAATATTAGTAATTTGTGCAAAAAAAAAAAATCTTATTAATTTCTACCTTTTATGATAATTCTATTTGAGTCAAAATATTTAAAGAGGTGTACAATAAATAATGC